CCTGGGGTCCTGGCTTAGGCTGCCTGGTGATATGCAAAACCTCAGGTGAACTGAGGTCTGTTTTAGTGGAAGAAGTTTTCCTGAGGGTTAGTGTGTCAACGGGGAATACATCTGACTGCAAGTAACAAAAACAGTGGCTTAAGTTTATGTAACAGGATCTCCAGCATTAGACAGTTGGTGCTTTTAGAAACTCAGATGTTTTTTTCTATCTTCTCATCCTTGGCAGCCGTCCTGCAGCCATCTTTTGCGTATCACCTTTTGTTCTGTTTCTTGCACCTCGTGTTGTAGGATAGCTGCTGTACTTCTGGGGACCAAGGCTGTGAACAGGTGGGGAGAAGGAAGCAGGGGGCTGGGCAGAGCCGGCTGCCTCTGTCATCTTTTCAATGGAAGAAGGAACTTTCCAGGGTCCTCTTCCTAAAGACTCCACTCCATACTCAGTTGAAATATTGGACCATATTTCATCACTATTTGTAGGGACAGTTATATGTCAGAAACCAGAATTACGTCAGTTGGCTTAGGCTAGTTATCATCCTGTATTGGGGGGCTTACCACATTGCCATCTTGAACAAAATCCCAGTTCTGTTAAGAAGAAAAATGCATATTTGTTAATTAATGAGGTTAACTACAGTAAATAATTGAGAATATCTTTTAAATGCTAACATAAGAATGTGTTGCATGTCAAAATGCATAGTTTGTGTTACATTTTAAGACAGTATATGAAGAAATCATATGCTTTCAGCATGTACTTCAAGCCTGCCTTAGGATATAACTGACCTCTTTCCACCTCTTCCCCTCATCCAATTCACTTTCCACATAGTAACAGAGCGATTGTTGAAAGGTATAATCCTTCTGAATATGTTGTTCCATTACTTAAAACCCATCAGTACCATCCCAGCAGTGTTGGGATAAAGCCTAAAGTTCTTATCGTGACTTTGAAAAATCTCTCAGAATCTGGCCCAGACTTCTGTCTGGTCTCATTCTTGCCAACCCTTCCACTTGGCTTTGAAACTCCTGTTAAACTTGGTTCATGCTTCAACAGAGCCAAGCAATCTTGCCCTTGAACCTGACATACGCTTCTTCTTATCTCTGGTTGCCTCTTCTCCCACCTCCTGTATTTCCCCCCCACTGGCTAACTCCCAGCCCTCCTTCTAGGTGGTGCTTCTGGAAAGGCTTCTTTCCTCGATGGCCCTCGGCAGGATCTCATGACTCTACTCTTTGGTCCATCAGCACCCTTTCACTGCATTTAGTCCTCTCTCAGAATTGCTGTAGATTATTCAGAATACAGAACTTTTCCATCATACCATTTTGTCTACTGTTTGTAACATATTGCCTGGTACTCAGTGGGCATTCCATAAACACCTTGATTCTTGTTTTTTTCCCTGAATACTCCCAATTCACTGTCGGCAGTCTAATTATACAGAGGAAGCTCAATTCCTTTCCAATGAGTTTGAACAGACAAAATTCAGACATTAAAGAAGGAAAATAAGGTATCAGAGGCAGAGAGGCATTTGAGCAGTTGCCAAATGTGACTCCAGGGCTGTGTTCATCGGGAAGATTCAGCAGAAGATGTGAGTTTTACCACAGCCCCTCCTGAAATCACTGTCCTCTTTAATAAGTAAGGCTTCTGTTTTGCTTCTGGCTTGTTTTGTAAAGATGTCTGTCATCTCATGTTAAAGGAACTGTTGTTGTTTGTTTTGTTTTCCTCCAATTTACCAACAAGAGTGTGGGGCCTAGAATATTAATTAAATTGGCTTTCCTTTTCTAAACTCCTATCCTTCTTAGTGGGTCTCAGTACCATCTAGCTCAGGCAGGCTGGAACCGCGGAACAGGAAAGATGGTACCTCGGAACCAGACCAGACCAGCCTGATCACGGATACCTCCAGATTCATGGTTCATGTTTTGAGTATTAAAATAGTCAGAGAAAGGAGCTCCCTGAGCTCTTAGATCCAGTCATACAGGAGCTTTAATAAACTCCCATGTTTATGAGTCAGTAAATGTCCTTTTTGCTTAGGCCACTTTGAGTTGATATTTGGTCATTCAAAAATGAATAGTGAATAAAGGATTTGGAATCTGAAGTGTGATGTAGTTGAGTAGGTAGACGCATCACTGAATATTCTGTTATCAGGAAAGAGGGAAAGGATGCTAAGAGACAGCAACAAAACCCAGAGGTATCTATTTTGTCCATATCGTGTTCTCCTTTGTGGCTGTACCTTTAGCTAAATTCATAATGTGCCACAATTTCTGAGATTGGAGCTTTCTTTAGGATGGTAGAAATGGATAACTTTCTGAAAATTAAATTCTCTGAATGCCAGTTGCACTGAAAGGCAATTTGTCAAAAGTCACTTATAAATTTTAATCTCAATTCCAAAGCATATGAATAAACCAGAATTAGCCAAAATATATCATACACTAAATTAGGATTAAAGGAAAACTCCCATATCAACACAAATTTTAGTTCCAAATGATAAAATGTATTTTTCTAAATGTGGTATTTAATAGCCAAAGTTGAACATTTTTGTTTAAACTGTTAAATCTTCTAATTTTTATAAAATTATAATGAGTGCACTGATAGCACCAAATGCTGACAAGGATGTAGAGCAGCAGAAACTCTAATTCATTGCTGGTGTGAATGTAAAATGGTACAGCCACTTGTAAAGATAGTTTGGGGCTTTTGTACAAAACTAAACTTATGGTTACCCATACATCCCAGCAGTCACGTTCCTTAATATTGATCCAAAGGAGCTGCACACTTGTGTCCACATAAAAATCTGCCCACAGATATTCATGGCAAATTTATTCATAATTTCCAAAACCTGGAAGCAACCAAGATGTCCTTTAGTAGGTGAATGGATAAATAAACTATGGTGCACCCAGTGGAATATTATTCAGCACTAAAAAATAATCAGCTATCAAACCATAAAAGACATGAAGGAGCCTTAAATGCATATTATTGAGTGAAAGAAATCACTCTGAAAAGGCTACCTACGATTTGATTCCAACTATGTGACATTCTGGAAAAGGCAAAACTATGGACACAATGAAAGGTGAATGGTGCCAGGGGTATGGATAAGGGAGGGATGAATAGGTAGATCTTGGAGGATTTTAAGGGTAGTTACAATATTCTTCATGGTACTCTAATGATGGGTACACGTCACTGTACAGTTGTGCAAACTAGTAGAATATACAACACCAAGAGTGAACTTCACTATCAACTATGGACTTGGGGTGATTACAGTGTGTCAGTGCAGGCTCATCATTGTAACAGATATTCCCTCTGGCGGAGGTTGTTGATAATGGGGGAGGCTATGTATGTGTGGGATCAAAGATATATAGAAAATCTTGGTATTGGGCCTTCAGTTTTGCTGTGAATCTAAAACTGCTGTTAAAAAAATACCTTAAAAAATCACAATGGCTCTGACAAAAGAAAAAAATTATAGTGAACAAATTCGGTATATTTGGGCAAATTAACCTTCAGTAACTTAGGCTTCTCCCTTGATCTAGATCTAGAGTGGGTGAGTAGAGTCATTAATGTTCTTCACACGTTCATTTGGTCCACTTGAATTCACACCGGTGGGTGGGCTTTCCATGAACAAGGCAAGAAGTCCAATGTAGGTGGGTAAAGACGTTAAAGATAAAAGAGGATGTCTTCCCCTCTGTTTTGAGAGAAATCTTCTGCATCCATGGATGTTTTGTTGCCCTTGTCTAGCTTGGATTAATACTTAGTCTATAGGCACACACCTGATCATCTACATTTGCCCTCTTACAGCACTAAACTATGTTTTCTACCTTTATCTTGCATCTACCTACCACTTCAGCATTTTATTAAAAAAATAATAATAATAATAATAAGGGAGAAATGTGAGATTCACATATAAATCAAGTATAAAAATCAAACGAATAATCATAATTGACCTGATTGTTTATAGTTCATGATGCGTGATCAAAACCAAAAGTTTCTGTGATGACTGCCCTTGTACTGTTCACCATCTAAGAACTTATTCACTATGTAACAACTTGTTCACCATGTAAAAACTTGTTCATTATGCTTCAGAAGATTGGAGACTGTTGAGAATTAGGCTTGGGGTTGATTAATGATTGTGCATTGCGTCCCCTATACAGAATTTTATTGTTGTTCACAACCATATGATCAATAAATATGAGAGATGCCCTCTCAAAAAATAAAAATGAATAAATAAATAAATAAGTGTAAAAAAAAAATAAAGAGAATGTCTTCCATAGGGGAAGATCTACAGTGTGCAGGCTGTAGCTATTCAGCACCTAGCCTAACCTTCATCTCCTTTACCAAGTCTCTGATCTAATAACTTGCCTCATTTGTGAGATAATTTTTTTCTTTTGTAAATATGCTGTGGTGATTATGGAGCCTGCTTTCCAGTATTAACCATTTCATGAATCTGTGAAACATATACGTCAGAATAAGTTAGGTTCTGCTGCAGGGTTACTCTCTAAGTCTCACTGCCTTAACACAGCAATGCTTTATTTCTTGTTCATGTTCTGTATCCAACAGGGGTTAAGGGAGCTGAACAGAGAGACTTAGGTTATTATTGCCTTTACTGAGGGTTCTCACAGGAGCTACATCAGCATAGAGTTATACTACTGAAACACCTGTTCTCTTTGGTCAGCTCAGGAAAGAAAGAAGATCAAATAGAGGCTCTAACATGTTTCTACTCAGAAGTGATACTTCTATTCATATTCCTTTGGCCCAAACAAATCATACTGTTAACATTTCACTTCAAGTGGGCTGGGGACTATAATCCTAACTATAACTGATTAAGAGAGAACTGGATACTGGTGAATGTTAGCGTTGTCACCCACAGGTAACTTATTATTCTGTGCCTCTGTTAACTCATCTGTGAAGTATGAATAATAATAATAATATATATATATATACAATATCAGAGCTATTTAAAGAATTAAAAATGAAATTATGTAAAAAACTTGGTACTGTAGTTGGTAGAAATCAATAAAATTAAGTACTATTTATTGCTTCTCAGCCTTTTGGCTAAGATCAAGTATAGTATCTGCTCTTATCAGTTTAATATCTGATACATCCTCTATCTGAGGACAATGTGTTAAATGGGTTTTTGCAGCAGGAAGTTGGAGTAGGAGCTTGCTCTGTCCACTTCAAAAGAAAAAAAAATTAGGTACTATTTAATGAGTATTTATCTCTAGGGTGGACTATCGCATTGGGTAGCAGTATTCTAGATCTTTAAAAAAAGTATATCATATATAAGGTCAGAATAATTAATTTCCATTAGCATGAATAAGTTACATAATCACCAAATTTGTTCTCTTTTCCTCCATTTTTGTGAATGACATCTTTATCTACCCATTTACTTGAGCTATAAATGTAGACATCATCCTTAACACTTTCTTTTTTGATCAGTTCCCTAATTGAGACTATTCACTAAATCCTGTCAGTTCTACTTTATGAACTTTATGAATATCTTTCCATCCCATTGCTACCCCCCTCTTCCAAACCTCCACCATCTTTTCTTTTGGACTAGCAGTAGCCTCCCAGGTTATCCTCTCAGTATCCAGTCTTGTGCTTCTCTATTCCTATTTCACCCAC